GAAGCATCTGGAGGAAGTTGGAGGCTAAGGAGAGTAAGCAAGATTTCAGTATGGTTTTCTATGTTTTTGTATCAAAACTATTCCCTCACTGGAAAATAACTTTTCTTTAGAGAAACAAAAGCTAACTCAAAATATTTTGGTTTTAGTGGATGCAGAATATCTCACCGTAGTCTCAGAAGTGAGGGAGAATTATAAGTTCTTCCTCTTGAGTTCTACATGTGTTGACCACAAAGCCCTAAGGTCAGACTTGCACAGCAGCCTTGCCACCACGGGACCATGGCTGAATATGACCACTGGTTTTGTTTAAGCAGAAATTTGGGGCATATGTGAATTTAGTGGCACATAATTTATTAGTTCTTGGCTGTAATGAAATTCTAGCCACAGTAATGTTCTTGTGAATAAATTAAATCATTATGACCACTGAATTGTGAAGAACAAATCAATTATAATAATAAAGGGCTTAATAAATTAACCAAATTTTCAAAGTGTAATAACTTAAAAAAAACTATCTCAGAGGCTCTACATTAAAAATCTTTAGGGGGGATATTTTTTGATGTTCACAACCAGTTAAGGTCTACAGGACATCCTTAAGTTTCATGAATGGCTTTTCTTCAAAGATTTCCCCCATTTGCAGTCCCTGATAGTAAAAGAGGATTTGCTTTGTGAAGTCTGCATGCATTCAGGTAGTGATTTTTCTAAGGAAAACTGTGCAAATGCTTTCTTAATATATTATACTATGTTTCTTCTCATAACTATCTCTACATGGATACTTAAAACCTGTTGTGATATTCTCATAGTTCATATTTGATAATTCATGATTCATAATTCATGTTTGCCAATCAGCATTAAAAGCCTCAGATATCTATGTCATGTTTGTGCATTGAAGAGGTCAGCACAGCCAAGCTGTGGTCCTTGACAATGTAGAATCACAACTCAAAAGGAATATAGACAGGTAAACAAATCCATCTTCATTTGCTGCAACAACTGACTAAGAGGATTATATACAAATACATGCACCACATGGAGTTTTAATTCATATTTTGTTCCTATTTTAAAAATACGATGTCAGAGCAATGGATCTCAACCAACATTGTTGATGAACAAAACCTCCAGGAAATTGTCAATCACTTTTATCCAATATATCCACAAGTATGTTTTTGTGTGAATTTTCACAATACATATCAAGCATCTACATTGAGCCAATTGCAAGGAAGGAGAAACATGCTCCAGAATGTTCCAGATCTTGGGATAGCTCCCTAGTAATATGCCCCTATAATATAAACAGAATGAAGCTATGACATTTTCAAGAAGTGTATGGAACATGAAATCATATGTTTTAAGTTAATAAGCCAGACTCAGAAGGAGAAACATTGAATGTTTTCTCTTAAATATGGAATCTAGGAGAAAACAGAAGTATGTAAAGAAGAGACCTTGGGAAGAGAAAGGAGACCAGAAGAAAGAGGGTGGAACGATAGAAAATTTTAATGGCGTAGATGAAAATGAGCAAAGTATGAACATGTGGTAAGGGCTGGAGAGATGGCTCTGTGGTTAAGAACAGATGGCCTGGGTTCAGTTTCTACCACTCACATAGTGGCTCACAACTATTTGTAATTCCACTTTTAGGTAATTTGATCTCTTCTGACCTCTCTGGGTACCAGCAACACTTGTTGTGCACATACATACATGTAGGCAAAGCATTCATATCCAGAAAATAAAATAAACATAAAAAATTTAAAAAAACATGTCCTAAAGATACTCATTATCTAATACAATGAACATATACTATCGTAATAACCATAATAACAATAACAAACTCGGTTCTTTTGCTCTCTCATATATTTTTTCTTACACTTCTGCCTTCCAACATATAATGACATAGCAAGAAGACCCGCTTTAATTTACTTTTCAAATGTCACTCTCCAACTACCTGTTGTGAGACTTTTCCTGGGGAGACACAATACACATGTCTATTCACTCCAGACAGGGAATATACAGATCAACAATGATTTTACTAAAATACAACTTGGTGAACCAATAATTTTTCATGGAATTACTACCAGGAGTTTGGTGAGGGGTTACTTACAGGAACAGGGATGACGCAAATGCAGCCACATCACCTTTCAAAGGTCCAGTCCATTTTGGCTGATGGCTCACAAAAGCTGTAGTCATAGCTCTACATACATGACTTGCAGACAGTTCAACAACTCTAAGAATATCCTATTTGGTTAGTCTCATCTCCTTGGTCAGTCTCATCTCCTCCAGCACCGATTGTTCACTGCTTCCATAACCTTGGGAACTTATCTTGGTGAATCATGTAAGTTTCAGCTTCCAGATATGTGACACTTGCTGACTTCCTGACTCTCAAGGGCCAATCTCCTCCTTTTTGGAGAGAATATTTTAATTCATAGGAAATTGCTACTCCCCATTATCTGATTCCCTCATTAGAATTTCAGCCGTATGTAGGATGATATTTTATATGCTTTCTACATGGCTTCATCTTCAAACAATGTTGGCACAGGGTAGTCTGACAATTATAATTAGTTGAATGAATGAACACCTTCATAGAAGTGAAACTCATGGGCACATCTGGAAATAAGACTATAATTTCAGCAGTAATAGACTATACTGCCCCTCCAAAGCCCATTCCTCTCACCTGCCTCTTCTTATTCTAGAGACACAATTTTCATGTCCTCACTAACATGTACATGCCATGGAGTACCCCTACACCGTTCAATTCACTGAAATTGTTCAATCACGGTGATCCTGAAACAATATATTTGGTTTATTTGCATTATGTCATTCTGTCCCTGTAAAACCACATCATGGATTTTAGAAGTGCTTCTTCTCATTTCTGAGCCTGACTGTGTCCTGTGATTCTTCACAGTATGGAACTGTAACTGTTTCCTGTCTATTCCTCTATATGCTGTCCTTGTGTGTGTGCTTTTCACACTCACATGGAGCTATGGGTGTAACACACCCTGATGTTCATGCAGAGGTCAAATGACAAAGTCAGGCATCAGTTCTGAGCTTTCACCTTTTTTGGAGATAAGGTCTCCCTTTTGTTGGTTATCATTGCATGTGCCAGGCAGCAGGCACACAAGCTTCTGAGGATTCTCCTGTCTCTGCCTTCCTCCTTGCTGGAGGAGGCCTGAATTACCAAAGGAGTACTATCCCCACCCAGCCTTATGTAGGTGCTGGGTGTTTGGCTTGGTCCTTAAACTTTCACTGCAAGCATTTTACCCACTGAGCTATCTCCTCAGTCTACAATGAATCTTTTAATTGCAACCATTTTTTAAACTTCATTATATCTGAACAAAAACAAAATCCTGAGGTAGGCATGGTAGTAAACACATCTAATCTTAGGATGTGGGAGGCAGAGGCAGGTGGATCTCTGTAGACTTGAGTACAGCCTGGTATACGTAGCCAATTCCAGGCCATCCAGGTCTTTATGGTGAGAAATTATTGAAATGATAATGATGATATATATACACGAAAACCCTAGGTACATTTAAAATAGTACACTCATGCTTAAAAACTAAGCTATTAGACATATTGTAATTAGTTTGATGCATTATATTGCTTAAAAATGAAATCCTTTTGTTTTGATGTTGAATCGGCAATAGAGAAGTTACCACAAACTCATCCTACAGGAATTTCAACTGACACCACTTGAAGTTAGACAACGCTCCTTTGCACTTCTCCCACCCCAAAGCTGGGTCTTCTACAGGAATCTGCTCAGGAATGTACCAGAGTCTCTACCCAGTGGCTTTTCTGTCACCTCATTCTCTTCATTTAATCTTGATTTCTGTCACTAGCAGACCCATTTGCATTCAGCTCCACTCTCCATCTTACCTCTCACTGCTTTCCTTGTGACCATAGCCACCGTTAACTCAGCCCCAGGATGTCCCTACAGTTTCATGCATGGTTGTTCTTATGAGGCAGAAGAGGGTCTGATGCCTTTACTTACATAGGTAAAGCTATCTCTAAAATTCATAGTAAATCAGACCTGTGCATAAGGGACACAAAATGATTCCAGAAACAATTAAACCAACATACAATGTAACTTTGGTTCTGTGTCTGCCCAGCATTTTCTAAGGAATCCGTAAAACTGAGAGGACATCAAATATCCCAAGTTGTTTTTTGTGAATGCAAGTGATCACTAGTTGAGAAAGTTCAAGCTCATTTCATACATGAAGCCAGTGCAGCTGCAGTTGAACTGCTTTGTCTCCCCCACTCCTTGTAAATTCTTTTAGCAAAAATAAATAAATAAAGAGAAATGTCTTTACAGTGCAGGAGTTCAAAACTTAAGAATTAATTTGTTTTGCAGGATACACTAGGACACTCTCATTAATGATTTTCTCTGAAAAGGATAACAAGATGCCAAGATCCTTTTAACATGACAATGGCCTTTTATGTAGGGCTATGGATTCTGATTCTTCAGATGACATAGGTCATACATGGTGATATATATTCTAGTTGGGATATAGAGTATCCCCCAAAAGCCCATGTATGAAAGCTTGGTCTCCAGTGTGTGGTAGTGCTAGTGGAATCTTCAGGAGGTAAGGCTTAATGGAAGGCCTTTACATTGTTGGAATGTGTCCTTGCTCTCGGTTCCCTCTTGTCTTGCTTTGCTCTACCCATGTGGTCTCACCATAATGTTCTTCCTCACCACACATGGGCTTTGATCTGTTGAAAAGCTACTTGAAAGGATTCTAAGCATCTCCAAGGGAACATGGTAGCAGCCCAGCCTGGCAGGGAGGGTAACTTCTGAGTAGTATTATTATCTGAATAATTTGCTTCTACAGTCTTAGCAAAACAGTTCAAGCTACAGTATGAAAAAAGATTTCTCTAGCTGCTAGGAAATAGGTTTAACATTGAATCTAACTCCCATTTTGGTTAGGTGGTTTTGACTTAAAGTTTAACAGAACTGTTCAGTGCTTTGACTAAGCTACAAAAAAAAAAATTCCTGTGACTTATGTTACTTTGTTGGGGGCCGACCCCGGATAGCTGTGTCTTGAATTTTGTGTGACCTTCCTTACTTTATCAAACCTTGCAAAAAACAGGTTCCTGGCCTAACCGCGGGCTGTACAACTTCCTGGAGTACCTGCTAATCAGCCAGCTGCAGGGGCCTGGGACCAAAGCGACCTCACCTTTCCTTAGGAATTTTCCATTCTTCTCTCCTTTTGCTTCCCCCGCTCCCCCTCCCTGCCTGAAGCCCTGCTTATAAGCCTCAATACCCAGTCAATAAACGAGACCTTGACGTGACTCAGACTGACTCTGTCTTCCCTTATGCGCCTGGTCTCCTTTCTCTCTCGCCCCCATTGATCTTTCAGGAGGTGCCTCCTCGGGTCTCCCCAATAACCTGGCCCGCGGGACGGGTCAAGTGGCGCCCGAACGTGGGGCTCGAGGCACGGTGACCTGCCGGACGACAGACAACAGAAGGGGCCCCCGGAGAGGATCAGGGTAGAGACGCCCGGACCGCATCACTCGTGCAACGCGGGAGAGTCTTGAGGTAAGTATGTCGTCCCACCGATCATGGGCAAAAGTTTATCTAAAGAGGCTGTTTTTCTAAAGGAGATGAAAGGTAATCTTAGGGAGAGAGGAATAAGAGTTAAGAAAAAGGATTTGAGGCCAGGCGGTGGTGGCGCACGCCTTTAATCCCAGCACTCAGGAGGCAGAGCCAGGCGGATCTTTGTGAGTTCGAGGCCAGACTGGTCTACAGAGCAAGATCCAGGAAAGGCGCAAAGCTACACAGAGAAACCCTGTCTTGAAAAACCAAAAAAGAAAAAGGATTTGATAAAATTCTTCCAATATGTGGAGGAGAAATGTCCCTGGTTAGTGATTAATGGACCAGGAATTCACCCTCTGACTTGGAACAAGGTTGGAAAAGATATTAACAAATTAATCAGAGACGGGAAAATGTCCCCGACGCCTTTTTTAGTTTTTATGGTGTGATTAGAGATGTTTTAAAGGAAGCAGAGGGAGATGGGCGTGTTTCACATTTATTAGCCCTTGCAGAGAATTTTCTCTCAAACTCCCCCTGACTGACACCCAAGGGTCCATAGGTTTATTGATATCTACTGGTATGAGCGCTCTCTGTCTTGTCTGTGTCTCTCTGTCTTGTTACTTTTGTTTTGTACTTTGCAGGCTCGATTTGTACTTTGCAGGCTCTCACTGGGACAGACGTGTCCCGACAGTGAACCTGGCGGCAAAGGGAGACGTCCCAGAGCCCTAAGGCCACCTCCGAGGTGACCATTTGGTTTAGGAGCATCTTTGGGTATCTTCCCCCACAGTGGGAGGAAGTGCCACTTTGTATTTTGTCCCGGGAATTTGTCAGAGCCATTTTATGGGGTTTTTTGTGTGTTTTATTGTGATCATTGTTACTTTACTCTCTCATTCTCTTCCAAGAAAAAAAGGTGCATGTCTGACTGACAGGGATGTGGAAGCCCCTGATGTCTGTTTGATTAAGGACAGAGATCCTCGAGTCTGGATTGTTTTTGATGTGATTGAGCCTGGAGGGTTACCCCCGCCAGAGCACATCAGGCTGTCATTGTTCTTGGAGCTTGGTTGGTTGTCTCGTTGGGGCAAAGTTTTCTTCCGTGTGCCCTTGGTCTTATGTGTAATATGTTAACTGTTCTCATTGTTGACTTGACTGTGACGGACGCTATGGGACAGTTCCCTTCTTCTCCAATAGACCTTTGCCTAGCCCACTGGAAGAATGTGTGAGCCACAATAGAGGGAACTGGGTCCCCTACCCCCACTCCCCGATTGAACTGAGATAAACAGGTAGCTCCTGCCAGGTGTGGCTTGCATACTGTAAGAGGGACTTGCTGGCTGTTAATGAGGCCGTCGTCTCAGTGCTGATGTTCCGGTTCTTGGATTGTCTGTGTAAATGTTATTTGTTTCTGTCTACTAACCTCCCTTATTTTCCTAGAGGAAGAGGAGGAAAGAGAGGCATAACTAAGGCCACCTCCGTCCCTCCCTAGCTCTCTTGCTATCAGGACTGCAGTCAGCTGGCTGCTCTCACGAGGGTGGGGGTGCGTGCTTTGCATACAGGCGGGCAAAGACAGGAGCTCTGGACAGGGCAATGGGGACTGCCTGCAATTGACAAAAACTGTATGAACACTGAGCAGAGAATCTGACTTTAGTCAGAGGAGTTAACAAAAACTTTTTTTCAGGAACACTGACAGCCAAGGACATGCTCTATGCCCACTGCTCCCCTTCCCTTCCTTTACTGTGATAACTTCAAGGTCTCTTCTGCTGGCCAGCAGCTTCTCTTGTTAACCCTTCTCTGTCCTGATATTGCTTACAAACAAATGTTAAATTACCAGTTCAAGATACTGGGAAAATTATGCTTTTGTTTCCACAGGAAAAATAAAAATTTACTTGGGTTTTGGTCATTTGAGTTCAATGGGTTACAAATACTTGTCATCATTTAAGAGAATTGGTTTCAAATTATTGTTGGTTAAGATAAAAAAAAATGTTTTTTAAAAAAATATGTAAAATGCAAGTTATTAGAATACGTAAAAGCAAGGTATAAAGGTCTGAGGATAAAAAGGCTTAAATAATGATTTAAAAAAATGACTTGAGATATATAAAAAAATGAAACATGTTTCAGATTTCTTTGTCTTGCTATTCTGCTGTTACATTGAGACTCCAAAGGGTCATAGTTGTAAAAATGTCTGTCTACTCTACAGGTGTGAATGAAAAATGTGGCCACATGTATGTTTGGTTTTGAATGTCTGAGTTTGCATGTCCTTTATGTTAAGGAATACAAGTTAATACTAGTCATCTGGCTATTCAGATACTAGTTTAAAGCATAAACTGTTCTATTTTAATAACAAAAAACTGAGAGGTATATTTGACTAATATATCTATAGGAGAACAAATTGGCCTGGTTATTGTTACCAAACTTAGAGATATTTTCAAGATTGGGCCTAGATTTGTTTGGCTCAGATACATTTAATTGATAATGGTCCTCAAACCTGTTAAAGATCTGTTAAATATGGCATTTATATTATTTGATAAAAAGCTTACTATAGCAAACAGAGACTCCAAGCTCCCCAGCTCCTAGCAATGACTCCCAAGGTCTCCAAAAAAGATATGGAGCAATGACAAGAAGATGCCACCTGAATTGCGGACAACACTGACCACTGGGCAAGACACTCTGACTCAACACCTGCTGCCAGGGATCTGGCCTATGAGACACTGACAAGATAAGGTCAGTTTTACCAAGTTGCTCCTCAACAGGGAGAATTTCACATTATGGGCCCAGCAGCCAAGACTGATGCTGTCCTGACACCTGTCCTGCCAACACTATGAAGACTATAGGAGCCTGGGATGATGGCACTCTGGGTTATGGATAGTCTATGTTGTTGTTTTTTTAAATAGATTTAAAAGTGCACTCAGGTAAAGTTTATCCTTCTCAGATCTTTGATGACATTGATGACTGGACTAGCTATAGCTTTCTCAGCTTAGTAATTGATTGATCAATGGATTAATTAATTAAAGCTAATAAGTCTCTTAAAAAAAGATAAACAGGTTCTAAATATAGACTTACAGATGCTTTTCATTGGGCCAAGGAAATTTCAGTCCAGTCTATACTTGGCTCTCTGGATGGAAAGGACACTATGGATTTCAGGGCAAATTGATAATACTACAATTACTAAGACTATGGGTCTAAAAGTTCCAAATAAGTTCGTAAGTTTTAACTCCTGTTCCTAGTTTATATGTATCTCAACAGGTTTCCACTTGGCTGACAGATACATCCTAACATCATTTGCTGGTGACAACCTACTGCAAATGACTGTGAGCCCTGAACTTGCTGAAAGCTGATATGGACCAATTCAGCCGATATGCATACCATCTCTTCAGCTGGTCAATAGAACGTTCCCTCTTGTCTTTGACTAACATTCTGGCTTTCCAGGGCCTTGGCAACAACGTCCCAATGTCAGCAGGAAGTAATTATAGAAGAGAAAACATCGCCCTTGTTTCCCGCCCCCCCCAGAATGTTAGATCAAAAGGGAATTTCTTGTCATAGGGAACCTGAGATAAAGTTCCAAGTTCCTTGAGGATAAGGAACTCTGTCAGCCATCATAAGGTTTTTGGCCCTTGTGCTTCTGCTAATTATTGTTGGCTCTTATATCACTGATGTTTTAACTAAATGATGATTCATGTCTGGGTACCACTAAACTGAGGATGCTAGAATTCCAAGATCCACCTCTGAACCCATGACACACTTGCAGATGGCAAAAACTGAATAAGGGGAAGCTCGCTTTGCCATTGATAAGGGGAAAACTCTTATGTTCTGGTCTAATTAGTCTCCGATATGGAATTCTTTGAGCAGAGAGACAGATACACTCGAGAACCTGTGTCTATGACTATTGCCCTCTTGTTAGGTATTGGGGGCATCACTGCAGGAATTGGTACAGGAACTACTGCCCTCATGCAGAGCAACCACCTTATGCAATTACAAATGGCTATGACTACTGACCTAGAGGCCATAGAAAGATCCATTTCTGCTCTGGAGAAATCTTTAACCTTGCTCTCTGAGGTTGTGTTACAAAACAAAAGAGGTCTGGATTTACTATTTTTAAAGGAGGGGGGATTAAGTGCAGCCTTAAAGAAAAAAAATGCTGTTTTTATGCCGACCCTACTGGTATTGTCAGGGAATCGATGGAAAAATTAAGGGAAAGGCTAGCCCAAAGAAAAAGGGAGTTTGAAGATCAGCACTGGTGGTTTGAAAATTGGCTGCAAGGGTCCCCCTGGCTCTCTGCCTTGCTACCTACCATTCTAGCCCCCTTAATTGTTTTCTTCTTCTCATTACCTTTGGTCCCTGAGCCTTTCAGCGGTTGACTCAGTTTATCAATAATCAGATTGATTCGGCCTTACCACAACACGTCTCAATTCATTATCACAGAGTAGATTCCAAGGAGACCGACCAGGAGCCCCATCAAGGACCCAGATTCAGTGTCCTAAGGCCCTAGCGTCCCCATGGTCCTGCTAGAGGGTACCCAATGACGGGAATAGTACAGGGCCCACGCCGGAGACAACAGCGTACAGAGGTTGTCGAGACCGGCTCAACATGGCACGCTGCCGAGCGTGGGAAGCTCCCTGTGTAGCCTAAGACAGGGACTCTCTCGGACCCTAGCCAACCCGACCACAATGGACTTGGTCCATTTTTGAGAAAAGGGGGGGAACTGTTGGAGGTTGACTCCGGACAGCTGTGTCTTGAATTTTGTGTGACCTTCCTTACTTTATCAAACCTTGCAAAAAACAGGTTCCTGGCCTAACCGCGGGCTGTACAACTTCCTGGAGTACCTGCTAATCAGCCAGCTGCAGGGGCCTGGGACCAAAGCGACCTCACCCTTCCTTAGGAATTTTCCATTCTTCTCTCCTTTTGCTTCCCCCGCTCCCCCTCCCTGCCTGAAGCCCTGCTTATAAGCCTCAATACCCAGTCAATAAACGAGACCTTGACGCGACTCAGACTGACTCTTGTCTCCTTAATGCGCCTGGTCTCCTTTCTCTCTCGCCCCCATTGATCTTTCAGGAGGTGCCTCCTCGGGTCTCCCCAATAACCTGACCCGCGGGACGGGTCATTACTTGTGCGGACAATAATGATTTTTTAATTAAATATTTGTTAAGAAAAGTAAAAGAAATCCATGATGAGTTCTTTAAACAGCATAGAGCTTGCCAAGAGCTCAGTTAATATTAGTTTTTGACATGCAGGTTGTCTCCTATGAGTTTACAGTAAGTACTTTTTCAAAGCTATTTCTAAACATGGCTGAGATTTCTAGATTATTCAAACAGGTTAGCTTCTTTGTTGTCTTTGTATGCAAAGATGACAGTTTGGCAAGGGAGAAAAATAAATCTGAAATAAAAATGCAGCATCTATTTTCAAACTTTATTAACAGTAGAATTAGATTTTCCAGTCTTTGTACATTTTTATTAGACAATAATATACATGAAACATTTGCAAGGCTCCTAGGTTTTATGGCTATAATCTCCCTAGTAAAATGAAAACAAATAAAACTAAAAATACTACTAAATACTGTTGTTTTCAAGGCCTACAAAAAGTTCTGGTCTCTTTCCTTGGGGTTTGATATCTTTCCTCCCTCACAAATATGTTTTCATCAGAAGGCTAAAAAGGGCCACAGCCTTTGAGAATTAAACATACTTGAACTTGAATTCCACTTTTATTCTTTACTTATGTATCAGATGTGCATAAGAACTCCCTCACATGAGTTTCAGGGAGTTTATGAGCACATCTATTGTATGCTCATCTCCTGAGGTGTCTCTTGAACTTTGCAGATGACCAGGCTTGAAAGGCTCAACATGCCTTTGGCTGGGAATTTACTACAGCCAACTTTGGAAAAGGAAAGAAAATTAAAAAAAGAAATGGTTAGTTAAAAGCAGTTTTTATTTTGGAGATGAAAAATGCCCAGACTGCTGCAGGATTGCTAAGTTTCAGCCTTGCTCAGCCAGGGTCTCTGTGATAGATTGTTCTGTGGTGAGGTGCCATTCCGCATGCAGAAAATACAGACTCAGGGGTGACTGCAGACTAGGAAGAATGCTTCACTGATGACTCACAAGACTTCTGAAAGCCTAATCATAAAAACTTACTAATGCTAGTTAATAAACCAAGAATACCTAGTTGTGTTTTATTTAGAAGGTATACATTAATTGCCTTCTTTTTTATGCCAATTTTTGTTTTGGTTTTCTTTGTTTTAGAGATGGGGATATAGCTGTATCACTCAAGCTAGTCTGGGCTCAAGTACTCCCCTTGTAGCCTCATGAGGACCTGGGAGAGTACAAGTATGCACAATTGTACCTGGCTTTTTAGCTTTTCTTTAACATCTTTTCCTCATTTGTTAATAGATTCAGAAAAAATTCAAAGTTTCACTGTAGTTATTAAATTAGCTTTGCCATAAATTATACTTTTCCATCCTTCTCCATCACAAAACTTTTTCAGTGATATCCATAAATGAATCTTTTAAGGATCCATGAGAACCTTTATCATGCTGTTATTTTTGTGTAATATGTGTTTATATGCATTATTCTGAATAGAGGCCCATAGATTCCATAACAAAACTTGTGCAAAAAAGAATATTAAGAATAGAATGTTGAAAATATTTATCTCCCATTTATTATTTCATATCATTGTAAAATGTGTTTTAGTATTGAGGTAGAACATGGTTAATAATCACATAACTAATTAATAAAGCATGTCCATGCTATCTTCACTCTAGTTCTTTACACTTCCTCCTTCTAATACAAAAATCAAGTCAACGAGTAACACACCCAGGATGGCTCAGAAGGATTTGTTATGTGGCCATTCCTTCAGCTCACAATATTTATGCTTTTGCTGAAGCCACAATATTGCAAATATACATACAATTAATTCATTTTGATATCCTTTTCCCCTAAGTTTAATCCAGAAACATATTTATTTGAATGAAATTGTTATATTATTCTAATTATGATCCCAACTATAACTGTAATCCAAACACTTACAAGAATAAATGGTTTTTAGAGCAACAGTGACATTTGATCTGCTTTATAAGGCTGCAGATATTTTAGTTAAAATGTCTTTTGTTTTATCATTTTATTTTAAACTCCCACAAAGAACCAAAGTATTCATTAGTTTAAGAAGGAAGCATGAAAGCTAACAGTCTCTAGAATAGGTTGTATGTTTGACGGTCAGCTTGCAGCTCTTAATGCTGTTCTTACACAGTTCTGAGGAGTACTATCAGGGCTTGAGTCTCAAAGGCTAAGGGCACAATCTCTACAAATAGATCAAGTTTGTACTTCTTGCACAAGTAGTTTATTCACATTTATATCAAATTTATAGTTTTTGCAAAGTAGTTTATTCACATTTATATGTATATTTTTATGGAAAAAAAAGGCTTTCAAAGAATTCCAGGAGAAAACAATAAAGTAAAACAGAGCAACCAAAACTACACTCTTAAAATACAAGGGCCAATGAGATGGCTCAGTGGATAAAGGGGTTTGCCAGTAATCCTGACAACCTGAGTGTGATCCACAGGACCCACATGAAAGAAGAGGATAGACTCCTGCAAATTGTCTTCTGACCTTCATGTGTGTGCTGTGGCATTCATGTATTTACACACATACAGAATTATATAGAGATGTATATGTGTACATATATATATATATGTACGCCTGTCACATATATGTTATAATAAATTTTATAAATTAAAATAGTAATATAATGCGCCACCAGAACATAGGAGACCATGGTAAATGAAGACCACATGAGAATAGGAAGAAGCAAAGTGCTAGAGAGGCCCACAGAAATCCATAAAGATACCCACACAACAGACTGCTGGCAATGGTCGAGAGACAGCCCGATCTGACCTACTCTGGTGATGGGATGGCCAAACACCCTAATTGTTGTGCTAGAAACCTCATCCAACTACTGAGGGATCTGGATGCAGAGATCCATGACTAGGCCCCGGGTGGATCTCTGGGAGTCCAATCAACGAGAATGAGGAGGGTTTATATGAGCAAGAATTGTTGAGACCAAGGTTGGATAAAGCACAGGGACAAATAGCCAAACGAATGGAAACACATGAATTATGAACCAATGGCTGAGGGGTCCCCACTGGATCAGGCCCTCCGAATGGGTGAGACAGTTGATTGGCTTGATCTGTTTGGGAGGCATCCAGGCAGTGGGACCAGATTTTGTGCTCATTGCATGAGTTGGCTGTTTGAAACCTGGGGCCTATGCAGGATTGTTTGGCTTGGCCTGGGAGGAGGGGACTAGACCTACCTGGACTGAGTCTACCAGGTTGACCTCAGTCTGTGGGGAAGGCTTTGCCCTGGAGGAAATGGGAATGGGGGGGGGTGTTGGGGGGAAGGTGAGGGGGACGGGAGGGGGGGAGAACAAGGGAATCTGTGGCTGATATGTAGAACTGAAATGTATTGCAAAATAAATTAAAATAAATTTAAAAAAAAAGAAAAAAAATAGTAATATAAAGCAAAATTAGGTGCCCATAAGACCCCTCCCTTCTTGGTGAGCTAATTAATCACTGTTAATGGCTGCTGGAGGGGGAGGGTGTTGTTTTCTCTAAGGTAAACAACTGTAGGACTATGTGAGAAAAAGAAAGGTTTGTTCAGAGGAAAAGGATGAGGATGCCAGAGGTAATGAGGAGTCAGATAATTATAATACATTGTATATATGCATGAAACTGTCAAAAATAAGGAGAAAATGTCTTACAACACATTGTTTTTTTATTTAAAAGTTGAAAGGAGAGAAATCCACTTAGTGAGCATCCGAAAGTCCAGTGGTGGTGGTGCATGCTTTTAATCCCAGCTTTTGGGAGGCAGAGGCAGGTGGATCTCTGAGTTTGAGGCCAGCCTGGTCTACAGAGCAAGTTCCAGGACAACCAGGGCTACCCAGAGAAACCCTGTCTCTAAAGAACAGCAACAAAAAAAAGCAACACTAAACAAAGCAGTGGCTGACCCTGGCAGAAAGCTTCAAAAAAGAGAAGAAATGGTGTAGAAGCTGATCCAAACTCTGTAAACACAGTGCAATGGAGAGGCAGCATTTGAAATCATAGTAATTAGCCCATCAATAGGGCTGGCAGAGTCAGGGTGTTAGAGCAGAGATGAATTCTTCTATCTCACATATGCTACACCACATCACACACATGAGGGTAGGGCACAGATAGCCTAGGACAAGAGAATCACAAGTTTGAGTGATCATAGTCTATATAGTAAGTTACAAGCTACCCTTGATTCCTGACAAAGCCATGTGCTAAAAACAATTAAACAAAATGACAACAAGACTTTATCATTCTGATATAGAAAAGGCTCTGCTTTTCTATCCCTACATTCCCCAAGTTGGGGAATGTAGGGATGGGGTGGGTTGGGGGGAAGGCTGGGTGGCAGGAAGAGGGAAGAGGGGGGATCTGTGGTTGGTGTGTAAAATGAATAAAAAATTTCTTAATAAATAAAAGAAAAAGAAAAAAATAACTCTCACATGTAGCTAGAGTTTTCCTGCCTGGCCCACAGTCAGGGCAAATCTCTCTCACCTGCTAGTCCCACAGCTGCTCAGACCTGACCAAGTAAACACAGAGACTTATATTGGTTACAAAGTGTATGGCCATGGCAGGCTTCTTGCTAACTGTTCTTACAGCTTAAATTAATCCATTTCCATTAATCTATACCTTGCCACATGGCTCATGGCTTACCGGCATCTTCACATGCTGTTTCTCATCATGGCAGCTGGCAGTGTCTCTCTGACTCAGCCTTCCTCCACTTCCCAGCTTTATTCTCCTCCTTGTCCCGCCTACACTTCCTGCCTAGCCAATGGCCAATCAGTATTTTATTTATTGACTAATCAGCAACACATTTGCCATACAGAACATCCCACAGCACTTACAGATGAATAAATTAGTATTTTTTTCCATTAGGAAAAATGGGTATAGACATTGATTAACCCATTTGTTTAGTTAGC